TTTTTAACGTTAATCACAAGCTAATAATACAACAATAGCCTTTTTTAATATAATGAATTATATAAAAAAATGCCTTTTAAACTTTAATTACAGTGTTTTTAGAGATAAATTAACCATTTCTTGATTGTACAAATTGCGCATCTAAATATATTCTTTATTTCAACTCATATCACTAATGAAGTTGGAAGCTATTCTAATCCTTACTTTCTACACCAGGCTTTCTCCCCCATGTTTTCGCACAGAGTATAATATTATACCTCCATTATTCTTCACATACTTTAGGATAGCATTAATCGAATAAGAATAATAAGATAACATTCCTTTGTAATTTATGTACAATTAGTAAAGGAATATTACGAATAAACAATTATTATTAACGTTAAATTATACTTATTGAGTATTTGACGATATTGGTTTATTTTTAGTTATTATAAATTAAGATTATTGTTATAAATTAAATAATAACTGGTAAATTAATCGTAAAAAATAAATCCCAATGCATTTATACGTAATTTATATCAATTCAATATGCTTTTAAGTATTTTTTTATATTCATAAGTACAAACAGCCAACAGGTTATAACATACCTGTTTTTTAATAGCTTTACATAATATGTTTAATGTATATACAATTATAATGCCAATCTTGATTTGTTTTAAATAAATACTAAAATAAATGGAAACAATATAAATCTTACAACTTAATTAGTTGTTAATGTATTTCATGTGCAACACTAAAGTGAAATTGATTTTAAACTTATGTTCTTTAACTATTTGTGTACAATGTGTAATATAATATTATCTATCTCTAATAAATACAATTTCTTAGTATATCAACATTAAATTCAACTATTTAATATTTATTATGCCTTTTTAAATATTGTGTTTATTCAATGGATAATCCATGCAGTAATTTACTATATTAACTGTCAATTTTTATAATGTGTAGTTTCTAACAATACGAAATAGGTAGGTATTGTATTTGCTTAGGTACCTATATGACATAGAAAAGTGTAATTGAATTTTAGAATAAAAACATATTTATTCTATATTTTAATCATATATGAACTATACGTGCATTGAAATCAACTTAATCTTTAAATAATCGAAAATACCAATACCTACAATTTATTACATTTTATGTTTCTTATCTGAACTGACTGAAACGGTGGTGTAATAATAATTTATTTACTCAGTTTTTATAATGACTTAATTATTTCAATTACTAAATCACGATTCATTTTCAACTAAAATTACAAAAAATAAATAAGTACTTAAATAATAAGTGTACATTTTGTGACATTGAATTTATCAGGTTATTTTCAATTATTTTTAACAATTAAATAATTAAATCGTTTTTAATAAGTCTTGCATTTCAAGTTTTATTATATGGTTTTATTTTGATCATCCTCAATAATAAATCATCTTTAAAAAAAAAATATTTCTTTGTGTAATATAAAATTATAACTTTTTTATTGCTTAGGTAGTATACTATTACATATTATTATTTATGTGCATGGTTACTGTAAAATCGTAATCAATAGTTTCCCTTCTACAAATGGGCACTAAATTGTACTGTTAAAAAGTAGTTTTTAAGGTAAATTTTGTCTCGGTATGATTATGTTGATGAATCAAATTTAATTTTAGTTTACCGAGTTAACATGTATATTTTAAAATTAACTTACACGAGATATCTTGTTATAAATAATGTATGTCTACTATAGGTACCTATAAGAATCTAACCTGGTTTTTATGAGTATACCTAAAGTGACGTCACTCTTAATTTATGCTTTCGGATTTAAAATTATTTGTATGTATATTACTCTACGGTAAACGAAATTGCTTTTATTATTTTCTATTAGCCTTGGTAATATTTCCTTTAGGCCTCTAAGACTGCAAAAATATCAAGGTCTAGTTGGTTAAATACTCATGTTTTTTTAATCTCGTGTTTTGAAATTATACGTAGGTATGCTTATTTTACAAATTCGAATATTACAGCGTGATTGAATCATTGCTCATTTTTACATTATTTTTATTATTACATTTATTTATTAAATAGCTCGAAGTATAATTCAAATCTTAGTGACCAAAATCTAACCTTAATTACCAACAAATTATTATTATAATTCTAACTAACTTATTTAATTTAAACATTTTTTCCAAAAAATGCAACAAATAAATTAGGCCCACAATATATTAACAAAAGTAAGTATCTATAGTAACATCGTACTTATTACAGACATTTTTTGATAAATTGTAGGTATTAGAAAAAAAAATGTTATTATAATATGATTATTAATTATACACATATAACGTACCAATATATTTTAAAGAAGCACTATGAAAACAGGTCTCCTATCGTAGTTGGTTCTAAACGGAAAAAGGTAAAACATAATATATTGAAAATTATTAAACAATACCTACGTTATCTTATGTCTCAATTTTTTTTTTTTATTATTATTTATACATTTTTACCGCATAGCAAAATACTAAAAAACTTTCATAACATTATAGGTCACACGACAGCACGGTTAAAAATGAATGGAGTGATGAAACTCAAAAAATTCTAAAAATTTTAACCATCAATAAAATATTAACTAAATAAAAATAATAACAAAAACAAAATTTTAGTAATAAATACTCAAAATTCATATTTTTAATTTTTAATGAAAAATAATTCAATTTTGGTATAGTGTTCAAAAATATATGTATGTATAATATACTTGTATTTATTTAGTTATTCAAATTTAATAATATTGTGCATGTGACTTAATGTATAACTCGTCCGCTCCATCTTGGCCATCAGCGACCGTTACGATTTCACAAAATCAAGGTCCCAAATCTAGAAATATAGAATATAATAATATAGAATATCTTCTGAGCAAGTAAACAATGCTCATAAACTAAACTTTACCAAAACATAACATCGGTGGCTCTTGTTTCAAGCCACTGTCCTAATAAAAAATATTAATTATATGTACCTATAGGTATAAGTATGTACTTCCAGTGATATTGATGCTTAAATAATTGGAAATCTTATCTTAAGAAACTAACTAGATGTTTCAGATGTAAATATGTAATATGAGGATTATTAGTTATTCATTATTTTATATATCAAATTATGTATTATCTTCATTTATTTCTTTCATAGATTTTCTATTTTATGGTTTTCAGTTACATAATTTATATATGTAAATATTTTCCAAATAATTATTCTAAAACACCAGTCATCTATTATAAGAAGTTTACGAAGTATGTCTTATAGCGTCAATAATGAACTGATTAATTGTATTTTACACAATATAAAATAATAGTAAGACAATTAATTATTATAATAAGCATAGTCGTCGAATATATACATTTTAGGTGTATCTCCAAATAAAAAAAAATTTAATTAATTAGAGAAAATACAATTTAAAGTTCGTAGATTTGGTCCTTGGACCATTGATTTTTAATTTATCTGAGGTTAATTCAAAGCAATTACTTTGTAGGCCATATTCAAAAAACCTCAAAATATGTTTCAAGTATGCACGGCGTGTAAGAAACTCATGGCTATGTCATATTTTCTATACACCCAATTGATAAATTGTTACTTACAAAATATATATTTTAGGTGGAATTATTAATTACAGTACGTATAACAGTTTTTTCTAGTTCTCAGTTTTTTTATTGGCTGTGATTATATTGTACTTTGTGGAATTTATTATACTACCTAAATAAATATTAGTAAACTCGATTATTCTAAGTGTTACCTGTTGGCTACTGGTTTTGATAATGTGAAATTCATTAAATTTAATCATAAATATGGATGATACATATATGGGTATTGGGTAAACGTGACCGAATTTCATCATGTGTCTATGCTGCAATAGAAGTATTTTCTAGTGTTTTCAGACTCTATCCATCGTCTCAAATGATTTTGTATGCACAGACACTATGGTGGATTACTTAAATAAATATATCAGCAAGCTTCAGCTTAGATTTATAAAAAAAAGTAAAAACATCGAAGTACCTTCCTACACATTTTAAGTTTTAAAATTAAATTATTTTTTTTTTACCAATGTAAAAGTGTTTGTATGTCCCTTATATCGCGAAATATAATTATTTGTATAAAAGAACATTACGGTTTACTCGAATAAAATAGGTCGAATTAATGGATATTGAATAGTATACATTTTCGTGAAATCATGAACTCCTGGTTTTACTGTTTCTAATAAATCGAACGATTACCATTAACTATAATACTTATCCATTAGGTTTCTGTTGGAATTTCCATTTAATAGCGTGAAATCGCGTAATATATTGTTAATGATACAACTATAATACTGCACAGACGTTTTGAAGAGTCGCGAGAAACCCTCTCACATTCGTTATGAGGTCGAGAAACTATTTTGTAGCGATGAATTTTTACATAGAAAAAAAATTCTACTGCATTATAATTTATAATAATCACAACAATTAGACAATTTGAACGTTTTAAAATTCACAATTTGTTCCGGAAATGAGATTTACTTAGAATTCGAATTATTATATTCTGTTATGTATTCTATTATATAATCGTAAAAAAAAAAATCAAATGGCGATTGGTTTTAAGTAAATAATTGTAATAGTTATTAGTCTGTCGCTGGCAATAAAATATTAAATGTACAGATAAATGAATAATTATTAATTAGTAAATCGACTGAATAAAGGTTATCTAGGGTCTTGGCAATCGAGATAATATGGTTATTAACTTATATTATTATAGCCGTCTTATAATTTTGACATTTTCCGCACATCTGCGATACCGTCGACTTTGTAATAGTCGTCCGGCTGCGCTGAAGTAATCGTCGTGGTCTGTGGCGTTTCGGATCCGTTTGTGTGTGTGTGTGTGTGCCTATTATAACTCATAACTCATAACTCATAATATTATACCTACCTAGGTATATTATATAATCTGTGATGTTATATGTATACCATGTACCTATAGTTTAACGCGCGTCTCTTATTTTCTAGTCGACGATGATGACATTAATTTTATCTGCATATCGCCGGTAAGTCTTAATGTTTGACAAAACAATATAATATACTACACTGACCGTAATAAAATATAATAAACAATAATTTATAATTCAATAATAATCGCACATTGCAGCAGAGTATACCGCGTGCGTGCGAGTGAGTGAGTGTCGAGTGTGTTGCGTGCGCGAGCGTGCGTTTTTGCGTGTGTGCGCGCGCGATTACAATCTCCCTCTAATTTATGCAATGGCAATAATAATTCGCGACGTTGGCGGCGGTGGTAGGGATATTTAGTGAACCAAGGCAGAACGGCGCGGCGGCGGCGGCGACGGCGGTGGCGGTGGACTGTGCTGTCAGTGCCGATTCTGTGGAGTGTCTGCGCCAACCGAAAAAAAGCACAGGTCCACACACGCAGACGAGAAATACGAATTAGAAAAAAAAAATTCAATAAAATCATACACACACCGAAAATATTTTTTGCGAGTGTGTCGTCTAGTGGTTGACGACGACGACAACGACGACTAGCCACTACGCTACATCACATTACTGCGACGACGACAACGACGACGCCGCCGAGATTGTGTCCCTGTGCGCGCGGGTGTCAGAAAATTGAATAATAATAATTGTATAAATTATTGTTATTTATTTTTTTTACTCTCCGTTTGTGTGTGATTTCTGTGCGTGTTTCCGAAGTGTGGTGTCGTGTGCGTACGTTGTTTCTCAACCCGTTTCGGTGGCCGCGGACGACCGCAGCAGACGGACGCACGAGTATCGAGAATTTTTAATAATATTGTCGTTTCATTGTATTTAATTTTATAGTAATTTTTTTTTTGTTTTTTGAAATACATACGCGCGTTTATGTGTATATTTATAAATAGACATATATTTTTATACCACGTATGAGTTCATCGTATACATAGATTAAATTCGTCGTGTACCTACTATACTACCCATATATCAAGTCACGATCGGACGAAAAAATACCATACCGCAGAGAAGATATCCCAATTATATATAATAGTACTGTTTATATTACCTTTATATAATAATTTTTTTTACTCGTATATATACATATAATATATTATATATGATTTTATTTTGTTTTAATACACACGTCCAATAAAAAATTCTCCGCTCTGTTTCCAGGACTCGAGTACAGCCACTGAGCCACCGGCGCGTTAGCAAACTGAAGACACTAGTCAACACTACTGGAACGCTAGGTGGCAAATCAGCAGCAGCGTCAAAGATTGTTACAAGGAAGTAAGCTCTCAACAAAACACACACATTTTCATCCCCGTTGGTTTCAAGATTCTAACTATAACTTATCGAGGCCAAAAATTTATATTTTAATTTATTATAAATAAATAATGATAAGTAATAATAATTTATAAAAATTAAAAGTCGTCGTTTTGCTGGGAAAATAAGCTTGATCTGTGATAGTGTTATTTTTTATTTAAATACTGTTTTTAAGTATCATTATTATTGCAATCACACATAGTTTTCGTTTTTATCGTTTTTATTTTATTTTTTATTTCGCTTCGTAAAGTTATTAAAAAAACAACTAATAAAATGCCTCAACGTGCGGGCGTACTTACAAATTCTGTTATGATAACTTTAATCCTACTGATCAGTTCCTTGTGTGGATGTTGGAGTTCTGATGCGGATCAACATGTTGCTTCGTCTTCCACATATGACAGGTAAGATAGGTCTCAAATTGCGTTTTTATTATCTTTCATTAACTGCATCCATTTGGCACTGATGATTTAATATTATTGCTTTAATTAGTGTATACTGTAAATTGCTAACATATTAAACTTAAAAATTATGATACCGAAATTATCTATTAGCTTAATTTTAATATTCTGTAAAAAAAAAAAACTCGCCGTATATAAATTTGGAGGATAATAATGTTGATTGGCCTTCCTTGCGCGAGTTATTTAAAATTCCATACCTCGTTTGTGCTCCTATACTCTCGCTGTACTTTATACTAGATTGATAAAATAATTTTGTAGTTAAACGTTCCAAATTAAATTTAATCTTTCTAGATTCATAAATATCCACACGAGTTTTTTACGGTCACAAAATTTATAAAAATAAAATAACATATTATAGGACATTGGTATAATAGTCACAAATCACAGTCATAACTAAAATTCCTAAATTTAGCACGAATTATAAAAATATTTAACAATTTCCAATTCGTCAATCTCAATTTATTTCCTACATAATGCTATAGGTATAGTGTGATTTGCATATCATACATTTTCTCCGTACTTCTTTGATATCTGGTGTTTCATTGCTTATTTTTATTTGAAGATTATATTATTATACCTATATAACAGGTAAACGCCATGTTGCATAATTTCTTTCTTTTTTTTTGATAAGGATAAAAATAATATTATATTCGCAATAGTGGTCAAAAAAATTCCAGCCAATCTCGCCGAATAAATTGTGTATATAACCAACGAATTGGCCTGTTTACCCCCTCCGGGACATCCCGGGACGCCCTGTCTGGTAACTTTAAGTTGTTTTTTTTTTTTACTTCTCCTTTCTAGGCGATCTCTGCCTATACATTATAACTTGTTTAATACGAACCAGCTCCTGCATTGAATTAAAATATTAATTCAAGGTTTGTGTATGATATTTATCTTGGCCGTCACTTGTTTTTAGTGTACTAACCATTGAAATTTCAACTCGAAAATTATACATAAACGTATTGCAAACACGTTCTCAGTGAATTCTATACAATGTGGTCGTTTTTTTATATACTTATGCATGGTTTTGAGAAGATAATTAAAATTTTTTTTTCTTCAGAGAATTTCCAATACTTTTTGGTGGTACCTACCTATAATATACCTAGTTTAAGATGAATTCGTACTTAATCTGCTTTCCTTGTTGTCAAATCACGTACGTAGAACTCGTTTTACTCCTGACGTCACCACATAATGTACGAAGCTTGACAATATATTCTCTAAAATTAATTTCATGTCAGTAAAATGTAGAGTAATTATTATTACTCCGTGTTTTGTTTCGTAGTTTCTATTTTTGCCATTATTGTGTGTACCACGTTTTTATTTTTTTAGTTACAATGTGCACTATTTTTACATTATTAATTCTTTCATATTATGTATTATTATTATCTCAACAGCTTACATAACATAAATTTAATTATTTCTACCTAAGTCTTACCAGATAATGTCTCAAAAACGCATGATTAATGAAAAAAAAATATATTTTATTATAGGTATTAGGTATCTTCGTTATTTAATTGCTGTGCATAATATCAGAAAAAAATTTAATCGTGTTTTTAGTTATCTCGTAAACTGATGCTAATAGTACTTGATGGAAATTATTTATAAAAAAAGTGGTTATTTGGGATCGAAGCTTGTGCATGTTTTGGTGGATTTTTAAAAGTTTGATTCCACTAGGTAAGTGGTAGGAATATCCGTTGATTAGTTTATACATATCGATTCATCGAATGTTAATCGTAACAAGTAAACTAAACTTTTAAAAGTCGTAATGAAGAATTTCGTGACAAAATTACTTATTTCTTTTACGAGATTGTTCAGTTTTTGTGGCGTGATTTCAGGTTCCATCTATTTATACCGTTTTGCTTTTTTTTTCCTATACTCGTGTTCACAAATATTTTGGCAAGATTACAAAGATTTACCCTAGTGTCGGTAGATTTTTCTCTCAATCTTATGTCATTCAAACTTCCCGCGCCCCGCTACGTTGAAAAAAAACCACACGATCCGGTACATTTGTTGTCCCTATTTAATGATGACAATAATGTGCTCTTGCTTATTATCAGCAAATAGCAATAATAAGAATATACAGACTATGATCGAAAACTTTGACCAAAAAAAAAAAAGTAATAAAAAACTACCGTTTTTTTCAGAGCTTGGTTTCTATGTAAGAATTCTCGAATTTCGGGGTCTTGGACGCCCGACAAAATATGAAAGCAAAATATATCAGAATACTGGCGCGTAAGCTAAAACAAAAATATTTATTATTACGCCAGTCATCCATACGTGTGGTATTTATCAATACAATGATATGGCTTTATGGATAATAATAATTTTTACCTTTTCTCTCTCTCCATCATTCTCTAAATTCAATTTAATGCCGGTGAATAGTCGCACAGCGTAGTACTATTTGAAAGTGAATTGTGTAGGTCAAATTATTCGAAATCGGTTCCATTGATTAGTGTTCGGTCTATTAGTTCCAGCGATCATAATAAGTTACGTTTATGACTGGCTTATTATTATTATTATTATTAGGTACTATTAATCGTATAATACAAATTCTACTACATTACCTATGGCTATATTATATGCATTATTTACCTGCGCGTGCCAGCGAATCGTTTTAAAATCTGCACACGGTTATCGTTCGATATACCTAGTATATTTACATGGGTACACCGTACACATTACATATTATTATTGTTATTACCTACATGCCTATGTTATAATAACAATAATTGTCATTGGCTTCGCGGTGCGTTCTTCCAGAATATAGTAGTACATAATATATATATATATTTTTTTTTTAAATCTCTGGCGTTTGTTATTTTACGTTATTTTCGTTTCACGGACCTAGGATGTAGGTCATGAAAAAAAAAACATAATAATAATTGCAGTGTGTACATATTATATTCGTATGTACTGTTATTTATTATTCGTACCTGTGTCTGTATGTGTTTCGTCTTGTGGCGCGCGCGACATAGGTAGTGTCTAACGAAATAGCTGTGTAAGCTGTATATTGGCAACCCGTCAATTACTCTGTGTGTGTGTGTGTGTGTGTGTGTGTGTGTGTGTGTGTGTGTGTGTGTGTGATAGAGAAAGACAGAAAGACCAGAGTTACATATGGCTGCTAGCCGCCGCTGTCGTCGTCGATGGGCAACAGTGTTCTAATCGGTGTCAATGTCAATCAAATCCGTTTTTATTTACCTGTTCTTCTGTTATCGTGTTTACTCACTAGTGGAAATATAATGAGAAATAGGAAAATCGTTTTAAAACGTTTCCGAACCGTTACAATACATGCAATTATATAATATAAACAATCCATTTCGTAGATAGAGCTACCACCGTATACTAAGGAGTAGGTATTGCGAGTGCTTACTATTATAATATAGCATAATATAACATGATATGTACGTAGGTATACAACTATACAATGTACAAAGTTGCTATGTGGTAAATTATAAAATCGTTACAATGCTTAAACTGCACAAATTGCTTTATTGGATACGCGTGCACACTCACAGTCGTTTATATTTCAATACTATATAATATTATTATTACGTCATTACCATCCCCATCGCGAGCGTGACGTGACCTTACGTACATCCTATACTCATAACCCGCGTAGCAGACGAACCATATCATTATGCAATAGCACACCTAGTGCCAATTTGTTGTTGTTAGTTTTTTCTTATTATTATTATTACTTTATTAACAGAGTGTATATAACATCACCAGAGTGTCACTAAAGTATATTCAGCCGAGCGAGCGGTGCGAGATGAGAAGTACATAATGTATATAGGTGCTAATTTGAAGAGTAAATTGTCATTTGTATTATACATATGCGTAGTACAGTTATCGTTACCCAAATTAAGGTCATACAATTTCCAAGACGAACTTCTTATAATAATTGACAGTGAATATCAAAATGTTAAATATACCAGCTATCAACCATTCCATTTACATGAAAATCAGTAGTGATGTGTCAAGGTCACTCCAGACCCATGGCTAGGAGATGTACGTAGAAAAATAAATTATGGATTAAATTTTAGTGGTTGTTGAAAACACGTAATTATATCCAAGACAATAGAATAATGTCATATAAATCCACATTGTCTAATTGATTATTAGTTTTCTTATTCGTCTGAAAAAAAAGGAAATAAATCGTATATTACTCATTTAGCGTTGTGAGCAAAAGTACGATAATTAAGAAACGAAAAGTTTGTTACGAATTTTGTTATGAATACTTTTTTTTAGTTATCCAACGGAAATATTATTTTTAGAATGGAAATAATGGAGTATTTTATTCCTACCTTTATAATTTACAATCGTTTTTCACTACTTACATTAATCATTACGATGTTCGAATTTATTATTTTTTTATATTATGCGCATGAAAATAATTATAACTTTTTCAACAAATAGCTTAGAGCCATCTTTAATTTTAATAAAAATAGCATCATTTAATTTGTATTTAGTTAAATAATTCTTGCTAATTTATTCTTAGCGGTACTTTATTGTATTTACTTTTATTTTTGCCTTAGGTACCTATTTTTTTATATTACTACCTACCTACCCTTCTATTTTTTCTTAATGGTACAAGTCATTAAGTCTTTGGGTATGAAACTGTTAGTGCATTACTACGTCCATTTAATACGATTCAAGAATTGCTTTTCTCAAGGTAGTAGGCACAGATGTTTTGCTTGAAATTGAATGGATTTATCTGTTAATATGGCTTTTTCGGGGGCCAAATGTAAACTCCTACACGAATAACCTTTTTACCTGAATCATCATTAAATGTAAACTCCTACACTAATAACCTTTTAAAATTTTTACCTGAAAATCAAAGATATTGTAATCTCCTACTTAGAAATTTTTCCCTTTAAAAAATAGGGTAATATTACTTAAATTCACAATTTTAAAGTTAAAAAGCTCAAAATTATCATAACCTGAAAATAATAAATATACATTATTTAATAAATAAACGCTTGAATAGAGCTTGTTTATACGCTGTATGATAATTCTCGAAGGTTAGATTATATCCATATTATATACTATACGTTCATATCGGCACTTGCAGTACAAAAAGTTTTAAATAGATCAGCGATATGGCATCGAATATTGTTGAATAACGATAAAACAAGTCATACAAATATACGTAAATGATTATGGATTAGTATTGTTTTATTGAATTTTTTATTATTTTTTTTCAAAAATTTTTTTTTTAACATACCTATGTGATTTTGACTATTGTTTTATCATATTTTTCAAATAATTTTTGTTTTACGATTAAATGATTATGACTATTATTTTATTAACATTTTTATTATCTATATTTTAAAAATTTTGTTTTAAACGTAAATGATAATGATTATTGTTTTATTAACATTTTTATTATATTTTTCAAACCATTTTTATTTTATGTGTTAATATATTGCAAGACTGATATTTTTTACAGCAATACGAGCGGTATTAATTTTTTGTAGGAGTTAACACTATCTTTTATAGGAGTTAACACTTTTTTTTGTAGGAGTTAACACTATCTTTTGTAGGAGTTAACACTATCTTTTGTAGGAGATAACACTACATTTGTAGGAGTTTACCATTCCCCTTTTCGGGAAGGCGTTGCCTGATCTGCCCCTCCATTCACAGCGGTACTGCCTTTCACACTAAATTGTGTATTACAACTTTATTATGTTGTTTTTATGTACATGCTTTATAATTATGAATATTAAAAAAAATAAATCACTTAAGAAATTAGATCAAGTTTGTAAATATATATTATTTTGCATGCAATTTCTTTTATTTCATCAAAGCTAATCTGAATTAGTAAATTATTGTTTAAAACTGGATTATATGATTTATCTATGGATTATCCATTTAAATATTGTGTAATGAAATATTTCCATACTTCTAATTAAACATTGATTTTTATTACATGGTAGGTACTATAATAATATTATAATAATAAAATGTTGAGCTTTTTTTACATAGAAGTTAACGTAAAACTTTATTTCTCTTATCGTTTATATTTTAATTACATAAACTATTGGCATTTTTTGCCACAAATACTTACTCTACCGAATGTTGTGTTGATTTTATATTACACATTGACTTTATTTTTATTGACAAATTGGATGTGATTTCGTAAGCATAAACAAAAAAACTACTTACTCCTATAATTAGTCATGTAGATACAAACAAATTTTTACCCATAACTTTTAGTTTTTACTCATTATTTTATTCTAAATTATAATACAACATATTTTACTGAAATACTTAAGTTTAATGATGTAGAATTTTGAACTATATGTACATTGTACACTTCACTTAAACTTTCAAAGTATCAATATATAGACAAAATGTATGGAATGGTTGATAATTGTTATTGTGTTATAAATGTATCCCACTATTATTTTTAATGCATTATTTCACAATGGACGCGTTAATGCACCTCGAAACATCAAATACCTAATGAAAAGTATTAAACTTAAATTTATTCAGAATAATAAAACTATAGGTACATCGTACCTAATTCAGAGCTCAACATAGTTTACCTATTATGTTTAAAAAATCCCATAGCATAACATTGTTTATAACTGAAATCTTTCAGAATGAATATCTAAAACACTGTGTAGAAATTTGAAGGATGTACTATAGTAAAATAATTTCTACATCAAATACGCTCATCCTCAGAGTTCATTAACTTAAATTATGATAAGCAAAATATTATTCTTACAACGAAATAAATGTACAAAAATGATAAGTGTGTATGTATATTTATTTACTCGATAGTACAGAGCAAATTATAATTTATTGAGTTCCTTTTTTGTTTAATCAAATAGTATTTTAACCATTTCTGTTCATAAAATGCAGTATATTTTTGATAAAGTGTACTTTATTTTACGTTGTTTCACGTTAATTAGATATCTTAATAATTCTCCTTACTTTACGCAAGGACGTATTATACATTTTCACGCATTCCTCAGTTGTCGAAATCATCTACTAAATTGAAAAGTGTGACGATACTTTCAATGACACATGTCCTTGTATTTATAGTTTATGATTGGTACCTACCTTTAAAATCAAACTTTAAGAAGGATTAACTTCAAAAATCACACATGTTTTATAAGAAATATAGTAGTTAATAGTTTAAAAAAGATCATTTAAATTTAGTCAGAGTGAATATTATTAAGATACAATGAATAATAGAAGATTTATGAAAATAATTTTTAATTTAATTTTGTGTACAATTTATGTTTTTATTTTAGTAATATTTACTGTAATGGACCATTGCTGCATGCGATTCAAATGTCTAGCATATTCCCAGATTCGAAAACGTTTGTTGACATGAAAATGAAATTTTCACCTAATGAGACCATGAACATATTTTTGGAAATGATGAAAAAAACGGGACAAAGGCCATCAAAATTAGAACTGGAAGTTTTCCTGAACGAAACATTCGAGAAGGAAGGTAGCGAATTCGAAATTTGGGATCCTTCCGATTGGAAGCCAGAGCCCAAATTTATTGGTGATATTAAAGACCCAAATTTCCAAGAATGGGCTAGAGGTTTACATTTGTTATGGAAACTTCTCGGTAAAAAAATCAAAGATGACGTTCGTTTACATCCTGACCATTATTCAATTATCTATGTTCCGTATCCGGTAATTGTACCTGGTGGCCGATTCCGTGAATTTTACTATTGGGATTCTTACTGGATAATTAGAGGTCTACTACTATCTGAGATGTATACCACCGTAAAAGGAATGCTTAGCAACTTTTTGTCGATTGTTAACACCTACGGTCATATTCCAAACGGGGGAAGAGTTTATTACGCCATGCGGTCTCAACCCCCCATGCTGGTACCAATGATGAAAAGTTACATCGAGGCCACAAATGACACAACTTTCCTAAAAGAAAATGTAGATATACTAGAAAAAGAATTCAGCTATTGGATGTTAAATCATACAGTAGACATAGAAAAGGATGGAAAAGTATACACATTGGCCAGATATAAGGATTCGTCAACAGGACCTAGACCCGAATCATACAGGTAAATTTAGTTTTTAATTTCATAAAAGTTGTTACAAATTAAATTTACTGTTTTGAAATTATGGTTACTGAGGTTACAGATTATTTCTAATCGAACACTAGCAAGGAGGAATTTATAATTCCTGATTTGTTATAATTTCAAATTTATTTCGTTTTTTCTGTGGCTTTATGTGCAATGTGCATTGTTATATTATCTATATTTGCCTAAAAATGACAAATATTTTCAAATGTTTGTAATTTAATAATATTTTGTACTTTTCCAGGGAAGATATCATGAGCGCACAAACACTGAAGACCGATAACGATAAAGAAAACTACTATTCTGAGCTAAAGGCCGCTGCGGAATCTGGGTGGGATTTTTCCAGTAGATGGTTTATACTAAACGGAACAAATAAAGGTAAATAACTGGCTAGTGTTTTATTTATTATTTATAATTCCAACAACGCTTAAAATCGTGTGTAATGTGCTTTCCGCGTTTGCTTGAATATAGGTAAAAAAAATACCTCTGTTACTGTAATAGTAACAACGAAATTTATATTGAAGACAATGAATTAAAAGCGCCTAGTCATACATTTATTTTAAAACAATAGTTTTGGGCTCAGTGTACTGACTCTATCTGTACTTAGTACTACCGGATATTTTTTCTTGTATAGCTCAAGGTTATATTATGTATATGGTTTTTCTTTTCTGATTATTTATTTATCATCATTAATTTTTTTTCAAAGTAAATTTTTTTTTATAAAATCATGACTTGGTCAACCATGACCTGTGGTCTCCATTAAGATTCATATCTAGGGACTTTTACTTTTATTAATTTATTACTGTTAAATGTAGTATAGTTTTAAATTTTTCCATGATAATATAATATAATATAGGTTTCTATAGGAAATTTTTGTTCATATTTTGCCCTATAGAACCTATGCAATGTGTAGATACCACTCGTGTGCCGGAAATGTAGTAAATAACAATACATTATGCCTGTAGTATAGAATCTATTGTTTGAAAAATAAATGCTATATTATTAAATAGTGGCTTAAATTTGAAAAAATCCCAGTTTTGTTTTGTTTTGACTTACCTGGTATGGTCATAATAACACTTAACAAACAAATTAACTTCCGAACATTCCTAAAATCGTCAATAATTTATTACTCTAAACAAATATATTTTGTGTACACAAAAATAATTTAAATGACCAACTTGCGAAAAAACATAAAATGTGTTAAACACTTAAAAAATCATAATATTATTTCGTTATTTCTTTCATAGAATTACAAATTCGATTTGAGCCTTCGTGGCTCCTTAAAAATATTAAGTACTTAATTATTACCACATAATAAATTTGAACCAAACCAGTTGACATAAAAATACTTAAGTTTGCATATGATTTTAAATAAAGTTGATTTTACTGAAATATTACAATTTCAATCAAAATCTTTACAAACCAAATATTATAAATTAAAATATTTATATGTAAATTTATAATTTCAATATTTTATAGAAAATATATACATAACTATTTAAACTTATTGATTAGGTAAATATTAAAACGATTGGAAAAATGTAGTGTCGAGTATTGTAAATAGAAATGTTAAACCAATTTTTTATAATAATGGTATTTTTGGTATACTATTTTTTATAAATTGTAAGTGTATGTGATAGGACATTATATATTATTAGGTATATAGGTATAATACCTTCAAAAATAGTCAAAACGCTTTTAAATACTCTATATTAAATATGTATTATCGCATCTGGTATAAATTATATATATACCTACACCATTATAAAAAAAACCTTGAATATTATGAATTTTGAAACAAAATATTTACTCTTCAGTCTTCACGAGAAAGATAATATTCTGTTTAACGTTTGATGTGTAAATGCTTTTTTATACTTTGTCAAAGCGTATTATATGAAGGAAATATAAATAAAAACATTCGTTAAGAATTTAGTTTATATTATTTCAAAAAAATATTAAAATATCACAAAGCCATAGTATTGATAAATAAAATATATTACTTATAAGTTATTAGTATATCATAAAATACGTATAGGTAGGTAGTAGGTACCTAATTGTACTTCTAAAAGATTAATTGAAGTACCTAAAAAATGGGAGTGAATTATTTAAATTAATGTAGATGACAAATTAAGTTTGGGTAAAAATTAATAGAAAATATTTTTTTTAAATGTGCGCATCATAAAAAAGTAAAGCAAATAAATTTTATAAATTGTCATGACCTTGAAAATATGCTTCTCTGTATACATGTTCAATTAAAGCTTGTATTGTTAGTCAACAATTAAATCAGGACTAGGTTCACGGTTGGCGGTTGCATTATTTTTGTTAACGTAGGTAGGTATGTAAGTTTATTACACCTAATTTATTTGTGTTGCTACTATAGAAATATTGTACTATTTTAAAACTGTTTTAAGTTACAAAAAAATTGAATGTATTGCTTAGTACAGCGAACGACATTTGAGTTATTAATATTTCAATAAAATTAAGAACCTCCATAATTACTTAGACATTTAAGTCTGTAATGTCAGAATGTTATAGGTCATTTTTACAATAATTACCAGTTTACTTTAAACGATATCTATTATTTTTCTCTTCTTATACGCGATTTCAACATAGTTTCATTTACCTACTATTAAATTAGGTCTGCCGTTTTATACGGATTAGAGTTGGAACTATTAAGTATAAAGTAAATGTTTCTAAACCATTATTGCGCGTGTTCCATGCCACATAATATTATATATTAATATTTCGTGAATGAGATTAAAAAACTTTCATAACGATAATACGTCTCCATATATACATTATACCTACTACATAAATTATGTGTACCTAAAATGTATCATCACGTTAATTATTATATTTTTGGCATAGATCCACTGATTTTCAATACCCTTAATACACGTATTATTTTATTCTTTTTTTACTAGAAACAGGTCAACGACAAATTAATGTGAGACATGATTGTTTTTATTTTATTTTTATCTATCAAACACTTAATTGAAGCTCCACGTTTGATAGTTCGACTTTTCAATGAATAAAATATAATTACTCCAGGTCTGGTCGAGATAATTTATGATTTTCATAATTCCTAGATCGATTGGAAAATGATTGCATTTTATTAGGCACCTATTATTTTTATCTAATAAGCAAATTAAAAAAAAAAATGTTTGAACGCAATGGTGAAAAATACTTAAATTGGATATACTTATATACCGAAATAACATCTGTGGGTTAGGGAGTGAGTAAAAGCTACACTTTATGGGATAATATTGTCGCAGGCCATAGTGCTCTCAATAACGTTGCATACGATAACTTGTGTCATTGTATGATTGCAGGAAACCTGACCAACCTGAAAACACGATTCATCATTCCGGTGGACTTGAACGCTCTGGTGTATTGGAATGCTAAGATATTGAGTGATTTCTACAGGGAGCTAAATGTATCCGACAAGGCACTGAAGTACGAAAACATCGCCAACAAATGGATAGAAGCAGTGACGGCGGTGCTTTGGCACGAGGAAGTAGGCGCGTGGCTGGACTATGACATGCTGAACGAAATCAAGCGTGATTACTTTTACCCAACCAATATATCACCATTGTGGACTGGCTGTTATGACCCGAAGAAGACCGATGACTTTGTGTCCCGAACGCTTAAGTACTTGGAAAAGACACAAATAATGAACAACCTGGGTGGGATACCAACTACCCTGGAGCACTCCGGTGAACAGTGGGACTACCCGAACGCGTGGCCCCCTCTCCAGTACATAATGGTCATGTCACTCGACAGCTCGGGCGATAACTGGGCCCAGGACTTGGCATTCGAGATAGCTGAACGATGGATGAGGTCCAACTACAAAGCGTACAACGAGACCAACGCCATGTATGAAAAAGTAAGTCCGGGTTGATGGTTTCAGCTGAATAAAACAATTTATCGGGTTGAGGGTATACTGTGCAGTGTACAGATTATTATTTTAATTATTTACATTTTATTAAAACCTTTTTGATTATGATTTAATCATTATCATTCACAATAATCGTAACCCTCGTAGGTATAATTATTTAAAACAAATCTTTAAAGTAGCTATAAAATCTGTCTTTACAAACGCATCGATTTGTTGTATAGGAGTCTGGTGGGTCTCATGTTAGATGCGGATACAGTAATTTTTATTTTGATACACACCACTGCGTCTGCAGACTAGTTTATGTCCTCTCAAGTCTCAATGATTTATATTTTCGTCGATTGTCGGTACTCATACGTCACTTGTTTTGACAGTACGATGCGACCGTACCCGGAGGTCACGGCAGTGGAGGTGAATACGAGGTGCAGCTAGGTTTCGGCTGGACCAACGGCATAATCTTGGAGTTCCTGCAGAAGTACGGATCCAGGGTCACGGCCGAGGATAAGTTCGTCGAGGCGCCTCAGACTAGCGCCAACATAGACTCCAGCAGAAGCAGCACTGACTACAACACCAAGACCGTGTCTTCGGCGACGCAAGTCATGACTGCCACGCTTGCGATACTGGCCACGATATCGGCCGGATGCATAGGGTGAGGTGAGTGTCGTTTCTATTGTTTGGAACCTATTTTTGTCTATTTTTACAACTTCCTGAAAAGTGTAAGTTGAAAAAACGCTTAAAAAACAAATCATCGTTATAAAAAAAGCATCAAACTAATATTTTGCTACATTCAGAATGTAAAAATTTTTTCATAAAAAATTATACCATCGCTTCTACAGTTCAGATTTCTACTGAAAAATGTGAGCTACATTGAACTACATGCATTGTAAAAATAGCTTAAGAGGACGTTATACTTCCGCTAGTGTTGTACTTGTCTCCATCTTACTAATGTACAACAAATTTCAGTGTTCAGTAGAACCAAATTTGCAAGTGTAAAATGATCATAACTAGTGTAAAATTTAAAATATAAAACTTACATACAAACACAGATTATATTCTTACCTTTGAGTTTGTTAATAGGTGTTAATTTACTCTAGTATTTAAAGCTGACATCATAAAATTGGTTTTGCTGAATGCACATTTTCTATGTTGTATGATGTGGGACGGAGGCAAGTAGACTACACCAATCACATGCGGATGTGACGTTCTGTTCATCATGCTGGTAGCAGTAAATAAAATAATTCTGCTGACGTTGGTCGGCAATTGTCAGCCTCATCACTAGGGAGTAGGGGATAATGGTTTCTTCGTTGGTCGAGAATAGATCTCTAGGACTCAAGTTTTATTTACCCATTTGATCAAGCTTTTTACAGAAGTAAAAAAACTAACTTTTAACAATTTAACATTAATAATGAAACATTGTTTAATAGTACATATATTATATATATATATACATATATGTACAATAATATATAATATGTATAATTGATATATATATATTATATTATATTTTACTATTAAATATTATACATATTGACATTTTAATTGCCTATAACTTTTAAAAATGTAAAACATTTCTAATATTTTTTTTTTATAAAACACTATTGACAAATGGCAATAACTTGAAACCTTAAAACGGATCAATAATAGAAACAAAATGTCTCACGACGAGCTATTCATTAATGTGAGGATAGGCAGTTGAATTTCTTAAGCCTTTGCTTAAAAAATTCAAATCTGACTATCAAAAGGGGCTATTTCAAAGAGATTATAATATTTTGATTACAATAATATTTTATAGGTACTACCGCAGTAGTAGTGTAAAGTCATCAATTCTCGTGAAACTTGTAGGCAGTTTTCGTACGATAAATATACATGCGTGGGCCAGCTAGCAAAATAATTAAAATTAATGGTTTATAATGTATATTATTATTATTATATAATAATAAGTAAATGTGTTCGCTAGATATAGAATACTTCGTGTGTCAAATGTCATCGATACGGGATATTATTTCATCAGCATAATATTTTAATATACAATAATTATATAGACGTAGCAACTATATTTTATAATAATAATTATGGAAGCGGTTGTGTGCTGCACGATCACTATGGTTTTTCTTTTTCTACATAGTTATTCTTCGATGACGATCACTTGCTCGTTTTGCTGCAAACAAAACAATGTCTTATCGCTATCGACAGCTGTTGTAATACTAACTGTTCACTCGTATTATGTTATACACACCATTTATTATAGGAGGCATCAATTTTCAAAACTAGCTTGTGTAAAGAATTATTGACATTTTTCACACAGATTGAACTAGGTACTGACATCAGATGGGTGATTTTAAAACAAATATTTTGAATACAGTTTGGACACTTACAAAATAGGAATAAAAGTTTTGAAAATAAAACTTATAATAACTTCAAAGACTGAATAATACGTCTTGTGATTTTTCTCCGAAAAACCCATAATTTATATAATTTATTTAAAAAATTTAGCTTAGTTTAAAATTGAATCCCCCAACCATATTCTTTTTGACATTAGCTCACCAAGCTACAGGTTAGGTATTATTTCATATTTTTCTATACATGTATAATGTATATAGTAGGTAATAACTAATAAGTATATAAGATGGTAATAAAGGGTGGCAACACAGCGCCTTCATTAACGTTTCGATTTGCGATTTGTCCGGCCTTCACATACCGTAAGCTCTGATATTATAATTTTTGAGCTCGATAATAGATCAATCGTTCAAATATTAAAAGCTTACCTACTAGCTCTGTTGAATGTAAATTTGTTATGTTACACGTTTGTAAGACAGAGTCAAGCGACAACACTTTCGAGTATAGCGTTCTATTAAATTTGTCCTAATATAAAATCAGTTTCTACTACAGTTCGTACGACGTTTAAACAATCATAATAAATAATAATAATAAACTGACAATTTTTCATATATTAGCTAGTATAGCTACACCTGTGCGCAGTACGTACTTTAGGTACCTAAAAATATTTCGTTGCATATATACTGTGATTAAAACGTGTCCGTAATATACATCAGTAAGATAGCGCATTATCGAAATGAGCACGTGCAATAGTACAAAACTATAATATTATTGTCGAAGTACGTTTTGCCGCCGCCATCGCTATTCGGGTACCTACTATAGTAGGCATCGCCAATGTAGCTCGATTTTTACATGTACATGGCTTTCGCAATTTTGTGATGTTTCCGAGACAAAATACAAACAATAAGTACCTAAATGGCACCTATATGGCTGTATATTATTATTTTAAATAATCTTGATAATTTATATTTGCGTATACAGGGCCGAATTACGCCCAATAATAGCCCTTGAATATATATTTCACCTCTTAAAAAAAAATTGTTTTTATCAATTCAATAGGTACATACTCAATGTCCATATATAAATACAATGACTAAAGTCAGAAATAATGATAAAACACGTTTATTTTCAGAATATATCATTTTTAAAAAACATTCGTTGATCATGAATAGATATGTTTTCTATCGTACCTAGTTCTTTAAATAAAAATATATTAATGTTGTAACATTAGATACAATTAATACCATTTTACTAAAATTAAATTCTTTCTACAGACATCACAAATACCTAATAAATGTGTATACAGGGCGATTCACCAACCATTTCTCCCCATTTTTAATTTAATAACGAATTTATTCAAATTTGGAATTTTGGAATTTTTAAACATAATCAAAGACCATATTTTCACTTAGGTAGCGAATCGCCTTGTACATATTTAAAACAAACAATAAAATAATTCTCTCGAAACTTGTACATGGAATATGTTATAACTTTAATTTTGAACCATATTATAAGAAAATTCGTAGGTATGTTTTTCGTTTGTTATTACCGGCACGATGTACACCTGTTTTTTATCATATTCAATATTATGGTAAAATTAATTATTTCTTACATACCGTATAAGGCAAAATAAAACAAAGTTATCTCATTTAATGACTTATATTTCGGCACTAAAAAAAGCCTATCAAAAGTACAGCATGTGTAGGCGTGTAGCTACTTTAACTATTCGGTCATGTTAATTGTCTAAATACTTAAATAGGTACCAACAATACCTATACCGTAAAAATACGGCAATATGTTCATCTGTCTACATCGTGCATTGTATTATTGTAATCACTCGTCGAAAGACATTAAATTCTTCCTTATAAATTAGGTATGTTGATACGTAAATTACATTTTTCTAAGACATTTTCTTACGATCAATATTTTTGTTCACGTTTCCTTCATCATTATTTTACTTTATTAGAGATATTATACAGTCATATGGGAATAACTCAAAACTTCGATACCAGTTCAAAGAATTTTCTATTTAAAAAATCTAAAAATGTATGTTTAACTCAAAAGTTTCTAAACATTTATATTTTATTAAAATCATTCTGTAACAGGACTACCTAGTATCTACTATTAGAAATAAATTAATTTATGTTATTGTTTATGATTATTTATCTTACTGCAGATAAACCACTCACTATCGACTCGTTATCTAGGTACCTACTCGGTTTTTGAGCACTTGATAAAATTGAACGATTACCTACTGCACATATTATGTTATTGCAAATGCAAAAATCTTTAATATGATATAAAAACAGTATTTAAATATAGTTGGGTAAGTTTTAGAGCATTTATAGCCGGTAGACTGTATATAAGTAATAAGTATATAAAAATAATAAGGTATTGTACCTATACAAACAAGTATACATGATGACATACACGAGACACCCTGTATATAATATAAATGTATAAAAATATCTAGAATACTACTGTACCTATGTGGTTTGCTTACAAATTACAATATATCCGGATCGAACTTTTCACATTGTGCAATTGAATTTATATTTTATAATTTTAATAGGTATACATATAGGCACTTACTGTTTCGCACGCCGTTTAAAACGTGGAAAGGGAAAAAGCAATTTTATAATGAATAAAACGATAACGAACAACACGGTATGACATGCTCGCGTATGACCGATAAACATATTATTATATTATGTATGCAATTTAATTTGACTACGACATCGTTGTTTGATGATAATGGTGCACATTTCTACGGTAGAATATTATAACACTAGACCTCCATTATTACTCATTACATTTGTATAATGGCTGCATCGGTGATATTAAAATATTATGAAATATTTTTAAATTGTCAACGAATATATTTTATATATATGGCATACAGAACCGAATATGATATGTCATGCAGTGTCCCAAGTCCCAACTATATATTTATTGACGAAGGTGCAAGCATATTTTACGCAGCCCAATCAAAACATAATTTTTAAAAAAGGACCTAAACAGTTCGATAGGCGATAGGTATAACAAACACCCAATAATTACCCATAACATACTATATTGAGTATTTGAGTAGCACCCCCGGGTAGTTTTAGGACTTTCGTATAAATTAGGTGGTTAGTATATTTTGATAAATAAACGAACGATTCAAACTCACAATAAATTATAAATTTTAAAACGAATTTATTTGTTTGAAATGTGAATAAGTAGATATATATGTGTGGGTACTGTGTAATACGGAAGAAGAAAAAAATATTTGTGCCAAATTTGCAGGCACTATTATTTATTTTTTACAGGCATT